GTCGCTTCACTGAAGATGGATCCTTCATCGGGCAATACGGACCTAAAGGTAGGCCAGAGGAGACACCACCAATTCCGACTGGCACTATGGCCACGTATGTGTAACATCTACAGCTATGTTAATCAAAGTCGCATAAAAAAAGGGAAAAAAGGAAAAAAAAACGTTTTCTCGTTACGGTTAAGGATCAGAGCCCGATCCTTGGCTACTGCAGCAGCTCTGCTATGCACCTTGCGCTGGGCGCAATGTCCAACACTATACTGCCAATTAGACTCTGGGGATTTGGGTTTTATAGTTCCTATAGAGTAAACCGTGACTGTCTTTCACACTCATTTACACATTTATAGATTTCCGATGCGCAATAATCGGATACGAGTTTTGAGTTTCTGAAATATTCAAAAACATTCCATATATATTTTTTCGCTTTTTAGCATTTTTGAACGTGTAACAAAAGTAAGTCAATTTTTGTTACGAATATTTTTTTCTTCATTCCATTGTCAAGAGTGCTGATAATTTGCAATACACAAGGGCATATCTCTATTTGAATGATAAAACCCAGAAACTGTAGGTGTTTCATAGCGTGCAAGCTATTTATGGAAATAGTATCGTAGAAACTATTCTAGCATTGATCGTAATATTTGACAGAGCCAGATTGAGTTGGACACGCCGATTGGTGACAAGGTATACGAATTGTTCCAGACTTGTGACATACTTTTAAGACTGCATGTAGTATCCAATGTCAACATGACGCGCGTTGATTTCTAAATTTATTACGACGTACATATATATAAATTTTTTAACTTAGTATCGAGTATTATAATTGAAAAAAAATTTGGAAATTGCTTTTGCTAAAAGTAAACATTATTGCTTATTCAATACAAGTATTTGCACATCTCTCATTTTTCAAGTCATTTATTGCGTTGTTACTTACATTTATGTTTATAAATTTTTTTCTAAATTATCAGATTACTCTTGAAAAATGCTTTATAGCGTCCACTTGAATTGTATCCATAAGAAGAGATTGGACAATATTGAAATAATTCAGATTAACATAATTTTCTACCGTACATATAGAATACAAAATTATTAGGGATAAACGTATAAGAGTAAATAAAAATATTTCTTTCTCTTTTACGAGAGTTAAATACTTGTATCGATAGCCAATAAAAATTATTTTTAATAGAAATTCTTTTATTCTAGTAATATATTATATTCGAGTAACTGTAATATATATATATATCGAAATGTATTCACAAAGTGTTAAATCTTAGTGCCTATATTGGACTTGAAAATATTTATGATAATGAAATTATTAAATTTCTAAAACGTAAGTGACATTCATGCTTTAAATGAGACACATTAATTGAAATTTTCGCGATAAATGCTTTTATTCTAATAAAGCTTTATTGTGAAATTGGTGCACAATGGAATTAGAAAGTGTTTACGGCAAATTTTTACCATTTTATATTGTATAAATAAAGCGAATATACAATATATATATGATTTAGATTAAAAAGATCGTATATTAACTAAAGATTTTGTAACGAAAATAAATCAAAATGATTTAAAACGCACGTTACATGACAGAGTGAATGATACTATACATTTACATGCAATCTTGAAAATGACAAACAATAAAAAGATAGTGTCGCAATCTGGCTTCGACTGATTTTAACTGTAATCTTCTAATGGACGGTTTCTAAGAACCTTTAGCCGCGATCAATTTTTACTCTGCCGAAAAAGGGCCAAATCTAAATGAACGAATAATATAATCTACATTTGTCATGCACTTACACTTTTTCATTATTAACAAACACACACATATATATATATATTTACATACACATATGCGCAAACAAATGAGGACACGCAAAGGATAGTAAAGGGTAAAGTAATATTGAAGAGGAGAGATTGTATATGCACCATATAAGTAGATAACAAAAATCGCAAGGCCTCTATAAGTAATTGTTGCTTTTGTATGTGAAACATGCTTCGACACGAAAACTCTTATTTTTTATGAGAAAGTTTACTTTTTTTTGCTTTTTTGATAATTTTATTATAATCCAGTAATTGTAAGCTAATGCTACATAATTATTTAATATATATACATAAAGATATTAAATATATATTATATATATATATATATATAAAGAGAAAGCGAAAGAAAGAGAAAAATGAAAGAGACATTATATAGATATATAGATATATATATATATATATAATTATGAATTATTATAATTATTATTAGTAATTTTTTAAAGGATGCGACGATCACACAAGCAGAGCAACTATTATATAATTATTATTACTTAGTGTATGAGATGTTAAAATTTGTTTAAACCTTTAAGTGCGATTTGTACAAAAAATTTGTTTAGATAAACGTTAAGTTAACATTAGTCAATGCGGTGTACAGGTTGTCTGCAAAAGTGTCGCAAGCAAATATGTCAGGTACAAAGATAAAGCGAAACAAAGATAGGTACAAAGTGTATAATATTTATGATACGTATGAATATGCAAAGAATCATGAATTATAGTACTTTTAAATGATATATCATCACCTGATATCAGACAGGACTACTAGCCCGTGTCTTTCTGCATAACGCGAATTCTTATAAGGAATGTATCCTTTTATATACCGAACGCAAAAAGTATCTTTCAGATACAATTGAAATATATTTGTTACGGTCTTTTTTGCCGAACATCCTGTACAAGTGACTTGGACGTCACACGATATAATTAAGATTTTTCTTTTTAATTACACAGTATCGGCTTATATCGCAATAATATACGAGCGTTTTCGTATTATTGTACGTCCGTTATGATGTTATTCATATATTGATGTTAAAACCAAAATAATCTTAGAGGAAGAGCGTGAATATTGTAGACGGTTGTGTGACGGATGCTAAAGACTGCGCACTGCGATAAACAGCTGTCATATATTCAATCGTTTATTCGCGAAGGAACCACTTGCGAGAGTTCACTTGAACCTGGTTTATAGCTTTATCGGTATATATACGTACATAAGCGAAAGATTGCGATATATTAACAGTATGAGACAATCTAATATCATCGATCGAACATAATAGTGAGGATGCAACTCTGTGCAATCTTTAAACTTACTCTCGAGACCGTAATTATAGACACATAAGATTTTTCTCGGATCAATATCTTGATATTATTATGATCGCGCTAGCAATAACCATGACGAAATTGACGATGGAATTATAGATCTTATCTTTGGTAATCTCGATGTCCAAGTCACACACAAGACACACATACACAAAAAGACAAACATACACACACGACGAAAGAGCGCGTTTTTAGAGTATTTTTCTATTATGCTAGCCTCTCGATTTTTATCCGGGATATGAGCGATCATTCGTTCTGCACATCAATAAACCATCAGTTTAGACTCGTTAATCTATAATATTATACATATTATACATGTATAAAAAAAAACAACTTCCATATACTTTCGCACGAGCAGCAGCTCTTCGTACGTTTAATATTTGTATTTCTCTTCTTTATTTTTTTTTATATAATTTTGTACTTTGTATAACAAAAGAAATTACTTGCGTTTTATTATGCGCGATTTCCCATCTACAAACGGATGCGTGCGTTGCGTCGATTTTGCGTATCTCGTGTTCTCCTTCGAGATGGAGAACACATCTACAATTACTATTACTCTGCTTTTGGTATTAGGTTGCGTCGATGAAGGGAGAAATGGTTCGTGATTTTACTATTCAAGAGTGTTCATTGTACAACGAGCACGCACACGTTGTTCTAAAAAAATATTGTAGTCTTGATTCTTTTACAGCGACTTTCTCTTGGAATCTCGATTATTTCTTAATGCACAATTAAGTGTTCATTTTCAATTAGTTTAATTGATCGCAATATTATACGTATATTTTATATTGAGATATATATATTATATATCCTACTATTAAATGATAAGCGCGAGAGAATAGTATTATATATAATAATCGATAACACACGTTTGCGTTAACGTACTTCCGAATCTCTTTCAATGTTATAAAGTTACTTAAAAACATTACGTCATAAGATCATTGTAGAATGTTCGCCGTAAAAAGAGTCAATGATGCAGAAACGACGAATCTCGATGATGTAATACAACGTGTGCCCGCTTATCGTCGTGCGAGTTCTTTATATCGTATATTACCTTATTGATATTTACTAAATAGTGTGATGCTGATGTGTTTTTTTTTTCGCCATTTTATTACACGTACAGCTATAGAGAAAAAGGAGAGTGAGTGAGCGCATTTCCGTCTCATCGGCCGTTCATAACAGTTTTAGACATAATTTTTCTACGAGATTTAAAAGACCGCAGAGTTTTCGAAAAATGTGCACACAGGGCGCTCCATCCAGCTTTGATAACGCTTTGAATTTAATCGACTCGTATTGCGAAGAAGAAATCGCTTATGTAGAAAAAGCTGCGCATATATTGACATGAAAAGGCACAAAACTTTTGGCCTAACTTTCATCGTGCAAACATCCTTCATCACATGAGCGAGTTGTTGAATATCGCGCGATTGGATGGATCACCCTGTAGAGAGAAAAAGAGAGAGATCTCGTCTCTTCGTGAAAGCAGCGGGATACCGAAATCGGACATCCATATACATATATTGCATAATTCTAAGCGAAAATATTATTATATCTTTTTAAGTTTACTCTCATTCACGATACGCGTATCGATGCGCATCCTGACATTTGTCCGCATAACTCATGTCAATGAAATTTAAAAAAAAGGAAAAGAATAAACGAAGAGGAAATCCACAAAGAGGGGCATTATAGTTCGGATCCATCCATTTTTACGATTCAATAAATTAAATCAATAGCGAGATTCCTCTCATTCGTCATTTCCATCCAGTAAAATTAATATACAATTTAATCTTTAACATTAGTTTCTTATATATTAATTTCTACGAGTATTTTAGATATATAATTTCAAATTCTCTTCAAAGGAACATGAAACACAAAATACATACGCGTATAAATACATCTTTTATTTTGATAAAACCATTTTAAGAGTAACAACATTTCGCCTAAAATTATAATTTGAACACAATTACACGTTATGTTCTCTCTAAATAGAATCTCGTCCTGGATAAATCCGCCGACTACGCGAACGCAGAAATCGAGCAAGATGTGATCGATAATGTGATTATGCTAGACGGGTTTTTTTTTGCGTCTGTATTCTCTCGATCTTCTGCGAGCTACTCCGGATCCTTTCTTTCTCTCCCTCATCGCGGTTTGTGCCACAGACGAATAAAAGATCGAGGGAGAATAAAGGGAGATGCGATCGGGGCAGACCTTCCACAGAAATATAACTGCGATCGAACGGCAATTCTTCGATCACTCGAATCTCTATATGTGGATATAACAAGCATATTTCAATTTTGGAGTCTTGGACTGCTGTACATTCGCAAAATGAGTAAAAGTAATATACCTAATCTAAAGAGGACAAAAATATTTGATTACAATATATACAACTTACATCCTCCTGTTACAAGTTTATCTTGCTCGATTTTACATTAATCAAAAATTGCGAGATTATTTGTCTTTCGAAAAGAGATGCAGATTTTTGAAAAGTTTGAACTTAATGAAGGATCGCTCTATGACATGCATATCAGAAATATCTGCCGAAGAGTAATCCGGCGACAAAACGTGCAATCGATAACGCAACCTACACGCGTTATATACATGGTCCATGGGAACGGGAAAGCGAGACGAGTTGTAAGAGAGCGTCCGCGAGGCAGGCAGGCTGCCGGTTTATTCCTGATCGAATGTTTTTGTACGTCCGCCGCGCAATCCTAATTGAATTCGCTGTTGGCAGGCGAAGTTGCACCGGGAGAGCCGTATTATACGTAGAGAATTTCTCATTCTTTTCTCAAAACTTGCGTCCGTCCTCTCGGTTTCTCTTCGAGATCAAAATACGTGGTTCCAAAGTGGACCTCTCGAGTTTGGAAAGAATCGCGATGCAGGAATTGACGTCATTTTTCCCGTACAGCTGATTCTGCAAGGATTATAAAAATAGTTTATAAAAGATAAAATTAAATAATCGAAGGAATTTATGAGGTACTTGTATAAAAGGGATTCGTACGTGATATTCCGTCATTGGATGTTTCTGACCGTGCCTTTAAGAATTTGTGACCATTCCGCAACATGTTCACGGTCGTACTGGAAGAAGCGTACCGGAAGAAGAAGGATAAAGTAGAGGAGGAAGACGGAGAGGCTTTCAGCTGCGTAGGATAACAATGGACTACTTGTTGGAGGTAGTCCGTTCCACTGATACAACGGTTATACTATTGATTATTCATTGAGGATAGACGCTCTTGAAGAGAGTATCGGCGATTCGGAAGATCCATCTAAAAATAGAATTCTAATTCTAATTCTAATTATATATTTCCGATTATTGATGAACGTGAACTTTTCTTATACAATCTGGGGAAAACTTCCGCTTCGTCGCGTCGTAAACTTCTTGCATATGTAACATGAAGTTTTATAAAATCATGAGTTCGTGGTAACATCATCGAGGCATCACGATAATAAATATAAAAATATAAAGGAAAAGGGATGAAATAAAAATTTATATTTTATATCAAAGAGATGCGTCCCTTTTCCTCTTATTTTTCTTTCAGTTAAACATTCAGTGTTTCCTCGATGTGCTTAAACTTGAACGAATCTTAAGTATTAGAAAATATGTGTATAGCAATTTATAAGTATTTTGTAATGTGTAAGTTGAGCGTAGAATGCAAATGTGAGATGTGGTGAATTTACGCAACACGGAAGTAAAATTCAATTGTCGGCAAGATATAAAGAACGAATGGGGAAACTGCACAGAAAACCGACAATTAAAAGACGTTAAAAAAACTGGTTCTCCGTCAAGACTTCTTTTCACTTTTTTCTTGCTAATTTGAATTTTGATTTCCGTGTATTCCTATATACACTTTTTCAAGTTTCCAATCAAACGATTTAAAAATGGATTCTGCAATTATGTGCATCCGAAATTAAAGAGAATTAAAATTCTCGAGATTTATTTATTGCAAAAATGAATACGTAATTGAAATTTTTATTTTTTTACTGTGAATGCCTAATTTATAATATTAGAAGTTCCATAATCCTCTCTCTTGCCGTATTCTTGCAGTTTATTATAAGTCTAAATTCGATCAATCGGTCCATTTTTAACTCGTATATTAAATAGTAAGAAAATTATTCAAGATGATTATGACTTATACATGTAAAACTAAATATTCTTCAAGACTTATTTTTCCAAGATAGTAACCCAGACAGCACCATGTCTAAAATTGGCGCATAAGATATCTTTAACAAATTCTGATATTATATCCAAAAGATATCTTAAAGAAGTTTTATATGCGCCAATGTTGAACATGGTGCTGTCCGGGAAGAAACGGGAAAAAGCGTCCGAAGCATGTACGAAAAAGCGGAGAGCGATGGCTGTTTGCGTTGTGCACGCAGCCTTATTCCGTTCGAACTCGCTCTCCCCGGCGTGCTCCCGAGAGTCCGTCTGCGAGATCTCTATCTCGCTCTTCACGGAGAGGTCTCTCGGCCTCCCTCTCATTGAGAGTCAGTCAGTCAGTCAGTCAGTCTGACGGAGCGACGCGGTTCGCACGCATCGTACCGTACGCGACAAGCGTGCAGACACGCACGCGAGGATTCATCTCTTTCGAAGCGATATCATATATATATACAAATCCTTCTTCTCTCCGCTTCCCCTTATCAATCGAGGGGGTGGACAACCGCGCATTGAAATCACTTCGTCATCGGGGAGGGGAGGGTAGAAAAGAGGATCCTCTCCTCCGCACCGTGGGTTACGTCCGAGGTGACCCCGTGAAATCCCAGATTTCACACGCGTCGAAGCGGACGGCACGCGAGCTCCGCTTTCAGGGGAGAGATAAGCGACCGGGGAAACGTTGCCCTCTGCGTTACCTATCCTATCTGTATCCTGTTTCTTTTTTTTTTTTATTTTTCGACGACTGCCAGAGGGAAGGAGCGGTCTTCCTCTTCTTCCTCCTCCTCGCACCGGTGTCGTGCGTGCAACACCTGGCGGTGGCACCAAGCGGTCCTCGTCGCGGACGATTATTATGCGATCGGCTGCGGCCGCCCTGGCCGCGGTGACGGCGCTCGTCGTTCTACTCCTGGACGACGCGCTCGCCCGGCACAAGAACCGCTCCGGGAACGGCGCCCAAAAGCCGTCCGATATCTCTCTCTGGATCAATCAGCAGCAGACGAAGATGTTGAGCGGTACAGCGTTTCAATCTCTAGCGAGCTCTTCTTCCCTTTGAGAAATTTCTTTTCCTCGGGCGACGCGTCGCGATACCTGAAATATGTGTCTCCAATAAGATTTCAATATCGAAAAATATTATTTCATATAGAATAATTTCTCTATTTCCTTCTTCTGTGTACCGGGTTTTTACGATAATGAAATTTTTACAATAATAAAATAAGCATGTCTTTAACAAAATTGTGTTCTGATCTAGGACTGGAGATAGAAATATACGCGATCGCGGAGGGTAGAGTAATCAGTCACCTCTTGGATCCAGAATTCGAGAGTAAACTGCCGATAATTCCAAGTGAGGTGTCGCACGTGAACTTCACGTGGAAGGCCGGGACTAAAAAGTATTATTACAATTTTTTTCGCTTGAAATCGTTCGACGAGAGCATTCTCAAAACTCCATCCATCACGATTGAGACCAAAGGACGAGTGCCTAAGAGACCGAAAGGTAACAGAAATTAATATATATTTTTTAATTAATCAAACATTGTAATTAAAACTGTGAATAGATATAAATTTAAGTAATGAATGTAACTAATTTGCGTAATTTTATAATTAAAAATTTTTTTTAATTATATATACTTTTTCCTACACATCAGAATTTCTTGAGAAACAATTAGAAGAAGTCTTGCAAACGAAATATTGTAAAAGATTGATGAACGCTTAAGAAAGAATCGTCTACGACTTTTCATTGCAGAGTCAATAATCCTTGAAATAGAATGATTTAAAGTTTGAACAATCGTAAATTGCGGTTAAGCATTTATTTGTCTACGAAATACTCGTACGATGATTTTTCGCAACGTCAATCAACAATACAAGATGCGGAGTTTTATCGTCAGTGTGCTTAATAGCATTTTCGCGTTTGTCAGTTTGAAGTGCGTTTAATTCCTAGAATTGGATACCCGATTCTAATTGAATGCACATTTAGCTTTTATCGCGTAGAAATTATATTTTAGCACAAAATTTCATTTGTATTCAACATCAATTTTACACAATTTATGAAAATAATGACTATTCTCACGCTTATCAGAGTCGTGAAGTTTAATCTTTTTGGGACATAGTATAAATACCACGCCAATAGTCCATATTTACACAGTCAAAGATGAAGAAATTTCGGCTCGTCAAATCTTTCCCCAATATTTTAACAGAGCAAAGATATATTTTACTTGTTTGCACGGAGATATATATATTTTCTTTTCGCTTTAAAATTTTTTCGTTTAAAATTCAATATAGATCTCTTATATACGACCTATACAAGTTGCATCATTTTTAAATATTAAGTAACTTAAACATAAAAGTCCCAAATCTGTCAATCCATTTTTATTTCGTAAATTTTTATTAATTGCTGAACAACGCGGACACAATTTGGCTGACAAAATCCGCGACACATATACAGAGTGTAACTGAATATATATGGAGCACACCATCAAATTTTCTTACCAATTTGGAGACGATTTTCCTCATTGAAAATGTCGAGGCGCCAATAATTTTCAAATTGTCAATAATTGAAAAAAGAGCTTCTCACAAACTAAACTTTTGTAGAGTTAAAATTTTAACAAAACTACGTAGTCTTCGGTTAATTTCAGTTAGAATTTACTTTAATAAAGAATTTTAATTTGAGGCTTAGTTACAGAGATACCAGGTGGCAAAAATTAGGAACATGCAAACAATGATGATCTCCTTCGACGTTTGTAAATTGTTCGCAAAATGATGACGTGCTCCATATATGTTTGTTCAGATACACCCTGCATATGCTTCCATATATTATGCAAACGGAATGCAAAATACTTGATGCTCTTCTCGGGTATAAATTTCGCACAACGCGTGTGTGCGAATCGCAACTGCAGATATATAAGTACATGGCAATAATGTGTTTTCTTTTCTCCGTTGCAGAGTTCAGTGTTCTGCTACCTTGCGCCGGCAAGGGAATAGCGCAATTCGGGATCGGTCTAATGATCGAGTCGCGCAACGGGATACCTCTGAACGGGACGCCGCTACGTTTCCGTTTGAGAAAAGAATGCAGCGTGCGCGGTGAGTCCGTCAGTCGCGCCCACGATCACCACCTCTTCGCTCGCACATACAGTTCTGTATCAGCAGTAATTCATCAGCCTAATTTGTGCCGCATGCTCTTTTTGATCGATCGCCTTGAAGAGGGACAGTCGAACGTGACGTCCGATTGAAAGATGAAAAAAAGAACGACAAAGTTACGTGTCGTTTTACATGTAAAATTCGATTCGAAACACAATATCTTGGCGTTCCGACTGTGCCTCCTCTTTCGTTTTTGTTTGGTTTAATCGACAGCTATCGTTGCATGTGTCCGTAGCCGCTCGTGAACGCTCATTTCGATACTTTGTAAGAAGACGATTACCTTACCCACCTATATCCTATCTCTGCTTCTACCTGATGCCGGCCGAAGCGATGGGTCCGATAATTGTGTGAAGTAGGCGCGTCGAATCTTCGCTCCGTGGCGTGTCGAGGAGATTTACGGTTGTTAAGTCGTTAAGAGATTACTCTTGGAACCTCGAACATTGTGACGAGATCCTGGTCCAACGCAGACATAAAATATCGAAGGGAGTAGCGAATCGATTAATTTTTGACTTGTATTTTTTTTTCAAACATCTGAATCTGTGCTCGCACGGCTATTTTTACGTGTTTACTCTTGCGCTGGAAATAAAAAATTAGCGTTAGCAAAAGAGAAAAGAAAAGAGTAAAAATACTGTTTGGAAAATTTTTAAATACTTTCTTAGGTCTCTAAAAAATATTTCGCAAATTCGGATACGCGCTCTGGTTTGGACCCATCGCAAATTTAGAAGATGTGAATAATCGCTTTAGCGAAGCTTACCTCTTGTAACGAAAGGTATATGAGCCACTCGTTCTAAATTTTATTAACGCTCTCTTGTAACATGTACAATTCTCTATATTACTTTGTTAATTCAATAATTCCATCTTAAATAACGCAAACATTTTGCGCTAATGTTTCTTTCAGGAAATGCACAAACTTTTGCAACTCGGAGAGAATTGACTGACGTATGACGGTCAAAGATTACTCTCTAGCGCTTTAATTTATATTTTTCATTCAAAGTATTATTCCAAATCCAAGTCGTGTGTTTTTGTGCTTGTATGTCTTCTGTATTAGCACCAAAACATTTTTTTCCCTCGTTTTGCCTGGCATTTTGTTAAGCGTAAACTCCGGCTCTCCGCTCTTCCTCCAGAATCATTGTTCGCCCGCGATCATGAATTAAGTGCCTAATTGCCTACTTAATACGAAAGAACGCACGAGTCTGCTCGGCTTTTTGACGTTATCCTCGGCTCTCTCTTTCTTTCTCTCTCGATCCCTATGCATTTTAAATTACCAATCGTCAAGTCAAAGATATATTATATTAATAGATTTTACATAAACGTGTGGTAATTAAGAGATTCATTTGTGGCATGTGCATGCGATCAAGTTTATTATATGGATCTCAAGAATTAAAAAAAAAAAAAACAAAACAAATATAATTCACACGCCGTTTTGATCTACTCGAATTGAGATGGGCAGAATATGATGCTACAATCGCTTTTGTGATAATACATCGCAATAATTCGGAGCACAGCATGTCGAATGTGCAAACGCGAATAATTATCTTTCATTTCGTTGACCGAAGCTGTTGATTGTGTTTTTGCGTTTAAAATAAGATTTAATTAAAAAAAAAATCACAATTTACTCGTGCCACGAAAATGAGATAAAATACATGTTTTAATCTTTTCACATGCGCACAATATCTTCATAACTCGTATTAAGAAATTTAGATTAAAGTCGCGTTTTAATTTTTTTTCAATCCCATCGTCATCATATTTTTATTTACAATTTATTATATATTCTATCATGCTAAATCTTGATAAAAGTATTTTTTTTTTTTTTACTATCAAGCATATTCATTTAATACGCGTAATGAGCTAAGATGTTACATATAGATATAAACTGTCTCTCTTTTATGTCGTCATACGATAAAAAAATAATATATTATAATCTCAATTTCGTGATTTATCGCAGTTTTTGATTTTGAAAAAAAATTTGATCAAATCTGCATGCGTAAGATTGCATGCAATAATCTTATCTTATCGGATTAACAAAATCGATTATACCTGTTATAGGAATATTGTTTGTTTTTAATGGAATTTATACAAAATTTGATTTGTTTAATACGTGTGTTGTGTTTGCGTGTGTGTGTTGCAGCAATATACATATATTATCTTTTAACTTTGAATTTTATTTCTTACAGAACCTAATCCTGGTCCTTGTCCGGACGGTTACCTGGGGCCGCCTCATTGTAACAAAGCGCTTTGTTATCCAAAATGTATGCATGGTGGAAACTGCACGGCACCAGGTGTATGCTCGTGCCCGCCAGGATATCAGGGACCCTACTGTGAAGGAGGTATAACGAATTGTATAGGTCACTTATACAATACATTTTTTCCCATCTCACTGGCAGTCTGATTTTATTAAATCCATAAATTCTCTTTTAAGCTGACGTCATAATAGATCTTTTCATATCCATTTCCTCTATGTAACTTTAAATTATGTATTTTCTTTGATATTTTATATCCTATATAAAATACTCGCAAGTCTAAAATATGTACATAAATTTATTTCAAAGAAAAATCAATTTATTCATGTCCATGAAAAGATCAGTGATTCAAAGATGTTCTAAAACTTGGAACATCGTGAAATGTATATCGTCGTATCGACTCAACACATCTGCTCTAGAAAATCCAAGCCGATATAATTTACTGTATGCTTACCTTAATTTTATAAATTACAATATTTACAAATACATTCGGTATTCTTTCACGGGGAATGCACCTTCATATCACCTTGGAGATGGATATGGCCGTCTTGCAGCCAAACTTGATGACATTTGTCAGAGCTTGGTAGAAAGGAGCCTGTTCGGCGCCGTGATCTATCCCGGTGTCATGATGCTCCTGTTCTTCGTCGCGAAACTTTTTAATGATCTCGAGTATCTCCTCATCTACGTTCGCATTCGCGTTCTCCATCAAAGTGCGCAACTGATCGTTGTAGTGCTCGACGATGACGGTCTCTACGGCCACGGTGCACGCCATGGCCGCTCTCTCGCCCATGAGAGCGGTACCGGCGCCCAGGGCGAAGCCGGCGATGTTCCACAACGGCGTGAGAACGGTGGGTCTGACTCGATACTTGCGAATCAGTTCCTCGAACTTAGCGCGATGTCGCTTCTCTTGATCCCACATGTGTTGGATCGTCGGTCCGACTGTCGTCTTGCCTACAAGGATTTTATATGTATTAAAACTCGATCAGAATCTTCTCTTATGTATTTTTAACTACATATGTATGAAAAATTGACGTGCTGATATAGAGAAAGAATCTCGTGATATTAAAATGATTCTGTTCATTTAATAGGACAATGAAGTGTACACAATTTACATCTACATCTCTCTCTTGTACTTGTTCTTGGGACAATTATACCTAGTACGGCCATTTGTCCGGCGTATATCCTATCCGCTCCCAATTCACCGGCATGGTCGACCCTTATTATCGAATCCAGTACTTTCCCCGATGCGCTAGTGGCCGCTGATGTACTGGCCAATCGTACTCCGACTCCTCTGATTTGTAACATTTTTTCTGTAAAGTTGAATAAAAGTATAAGAGTATTTCTATTATTATAAGTTTGACTACATTGAATAAAATTTCAGGTATCTGCACAGAGAAATGCTTGAATGGAGGAAAGTGCGTGCAGAAGGACGTCTGTGAATGTACAAAAGGATACTTTGGTTTACGCTGCGAATTCTGTAAGTATAAGTGAATCTTTTCAATCACTAAAGATTGACAATGAGAAAAAAATTTTGAGTTTCTCTATTTTTTCAGCCAAATGTGTCATTCCTTGCTTGAACGGAGGTAAATGCAAGGGCAATAATATTTGTAGATGTCCAAAGGGTTTCAAAGGTAATCATTGTGAAATTGGCAGACGTTCACCACAGCGATCAACGTGTACAAGAGCATGTAGAAATGGAATCTGTCAACCGGACAACACATGTCTCTGCGATTCTGGCTGGTTTGGAAAGTTGTGCAGCAAGAACAAACCATGGGCTTAGGAATATTTTGCTATTTTTATACCAGCTAAATACTTTGAAGATGATATCTCACTTTAAATCTCCAAACCTACGATAAATTATGTTTATAATTTATGTATTCTTAACTACATACATGTATGAAAGATTTGTGTTGATATAGAGAAAGAATCTCATGATATTTAAATGATTCAGTTCATTTAATAGAATGAGATGTACACAAATGTGTACATGAAAGAGAAGCCTCACGAGATGTAGATTGCAAGAAATTTCAATTGGTATCGCTAGGGTGTGCATTTATAATTCTAATTTACTTTGCCCCAGATGTGATATGTAAAGCTGCTTTATTTCATTTTATATAACATTATTAGATAATTAATTATATATCCTTGTGTGCGTTGTGTGTAATAATTGTAAAAATAAAATAGGAACAAGATGTATTTTGAACCATGTCAGGAAATACAGTTTTAAACTCAGCATCACAGTAATGTCCGATGGACTTTGTCGCAGTTATTTTTCTCTGTGTACATCTTAGAACATAAAGACGAATAATAAATAGATGAAGATATAAATGTGGCTTTTATAATATAACAAATTCATAAAAAAAGAATGAAAATTTCAAAATTACATTTTATCACTTGCAAATTACTTTACCCCATACGTAAAGATCCTTTATTTCATTCGATGTAACATTATTAGATAATTAATTATATATATTATCCTTGTGCGTGTGTGTGCCGTAAAAAAATAAGAACAAGATGTATTTTTTTAACCGTGTCAGGAAATACAATAACAAAACATATATAGACGAAGATTTATGTAACTTATGATACGACGACTAAATTCGTGAAAATTGCGTGAAAATCGTTCGCAAATTATAATTTTCGTTGGAAACACAAAGATGGAAAACAATAAATCGTAATCTAAAAAAACTTGCCGTTGAAACGAAAACGACGAGGTTATGTATCGTACGCGACACGACGAATCGCGGACGCTCGAGAAACGTCGAGCCGCGAGCGCCGAGCGGGTCACGTGGGCCTCGGCTCGCGGACCAATAGCGAGTCGGGCAGGGCGTCCGCCATGACGCGTGCCCCAGCGCTTCCCGCCAATCGTGCCACTTCAGTCTTGTATATATGTATATGGCGTTGGCGTTCTCCCGGATCGGAGCAGCGGGTTTCGCGGATCTCCAGGTGGATCGGGGTGAGTTTAATCCCGACGTTCCCGCAAATCCGACGTCCGGGAACCGGACGGTCGAGGTCGGCCGGGCGCGACGTCTGCCGCGTCCGCGAAAACCGGGGAATTTCGCATCGTCTGCTCGAGCTGGCCTGCATCGCGCAGACTCGCCCAAGATGGCCGGCTCTCCTCGGTCAGGTTCCCTCGGTTAGGTTGGCGCGGTGGTGGGTGATGGAGGCCCGCCGCTCGGTGCCGATCGATACGCCCGCCGCCGAATACCGGCCATGGCGGCTAACGTCGTTGTCGTTGTCGCGGTGGTCGCGCGTCGCCATCCTCGTCCGGCGTGATCCCGAGGTAAACGTTGACGGCGTTGCTCGGCGCCGGACCGCGGTGCGATGCGATACGCGGGGCGTGGTGCGAGTGCCGGAGCGAGAGCGTAGCCCCGCCGTGACGTGAACCGCGTCGTCGCGTGTGTGGTGTGTCATCTCTCCGCGCGGGAGTCACCCCCGAAGGTGCGTACGCAACTCGCGATTTTCACTGGGCCTGCTCCATCGCGTTACCGCGTTACCGAGCAGCCGTCGCGGAGCAGCTCCAAGGCTACCCGATGGAGGTGGTGGGCTCTGTAGGGTTGCCGCGTGCCCTGCGCATTTTCATTGCCCCCCCAAAGTATCGGCCCGAATAAACGCGCATATCCGCCTCCTTCCCTCGCTTAGCCTGCTTCGCTTGCGTTCTTTCTTCTCTCTCTCTCTCTCGCTCTCGCTTTCGCTTTCTCTCGCCGCCCCCTTATATACGCGCGCGTTCTTTATCGCGCCTTGTCTTGTTGTCGCCTGTCCGGCTGTCAACTTTGCGTGCGAGATGTCACGAACCAGAGGAGGGGGAGAAAGAGAGACGCCACACCGCGACCGCCGCCACCGCCACCGTTTTGCTCTGATTCTCATTCGAGTTCATCGGTTATGTTTTGTCACGAACGCTATTCGCGTTCACGCGCTACCTAGGAGTCGCGACCGCGTCGTCCTCGGGGAGATGCGTCCTCGCCGCGCCGCGAGGCTATTCCGCGAGAGAGGACTCCCAGGAACGAGCGAATGTTTTCTCCAAGCCAAATGTATATACATATATATATATATACATCTATATACATATATATATATATATATATATATATATATATTATGTATATATAATATATACATATATATGTGTATATATATTTTTGTATGCCCAAAAGAGAGTTGCCTGCTCAGTCATCTCGAAAGTCGAGACACGTGCTTTTATTTTGCTTCGCTTCCCGGAACAATAAAACATGTCCCCACGAGTGAAATTTCTTCTCGTTTACGTGACCCAAGATTTATTATATTTTTGGCAATTTATTATTATAAATTTTTATTATTATTAAGAAATATTTGTCTTAAAAAAGAACGATGTTCTCTGTTTGCTCGGCAGACTAAGGTGATGTAGAGGAAATTGAAACTGCCAGATCGAGACGAATTTCTCTCTATCACGAGTGATTACAATATACGAGATACCAAAACGGGTGACGAGGAGAAGAATATGGTATCTCTGCCTAACGCAGAAACCGGCACGATGGACAGAATCTCGGACGATGACGACGATGATCCTAGTAGCGGATCCGAGACTTACGAGGAAGGGGATCTCCTTTCGGCTGCGATGGGCGATGACGTCACGGCCCAGCTCGCTGCAGCAGGTTGGCAAAAAAACATAGATGGTGATTTCTCATTTTTTGCTTTTTCAGTTTTTCATTTCCACTCCTAATCGTTTTTAATTACCGAATCAAGCGCAATTAGCAAGATGCTCTCGAGGTATTGTTTATATTACAGGTAATATCCTGTATTAAAAGATCAAACTTCATGTAAGAAGGGTCGAAGGCTTTTATTGTGTGTACAAACAAACATTTGTAAATTATAAATATCGAATTTATTTTTCTACATTTGCAAAATCTTTTTGCACTAATCATTCTTCAAAGATTAATTCACATCTTTATCAACTTAACATAACTTAACAATATTACAATCTCTTATGCATACAAGACTTTGAATCTTATTATTTTTGAAGCGAAATTCTGATATTTATAAAACTTTCTAATAAAAACATGTAATTAATTAGCGTCCTTATAAAGTATATTGTCTAAATGTTGTGTTAATTTAAAAAATTGTTAACTTCTTTCGCGTTTTACAATTTTTGTGTACAGTATTTTTACATTGCCAACACAGATGATAGATTGTATTCATAGTCACTGATTGAGATAAACTTGCAGTCTTATCGTGAAAGTTTGATAGGATTGGAAATAATTCAAATTTAACTCAAAAAATGAGGCAATCTAGAAAAATTATGTTCATTCTGTTATGTTCATCATTTTGTGTTTTCATCTCAAACTGCGAATGCCATTCTATATTTTTCTCTGTCCTCTCATCTGTGATGCATTCAATGTGAAATATCCTATGCAAGATTTTTTTGTATATTTCTAAAATTTAATTTTTCCTTGACACTTTTCTTCTTTCTCTGTTATTTGTTAAATCACATTTACAAAAATTTGTATTTCTCTCTTAATAACAATTATTTTTATTTTGCAATTAATTTACAATAATCACTAATTTTTTGTATGATTTTTCATGCACGTTTTATGTCATCGTTGCTCACGCATCTTTGTTCGATTATAGTATAACTTTGATATGTCAATCTAATTCATCGAAATACATTTTTTTGCTTTATGGAAATTATTCCTTTTTCTCATTAGTAAAGTCTAAAGATATTTTTAAAAAATTTATTTTTCTTTTCTTTTTGATTATATTGACATATCAAATCGAGAGGCATAGAACTGTCAACAATATAAAAACATTTCTTCTGTATTAAAAAATCTTTAGGACCTGTCGGCGTAGCTGCAGCTGCTGCCATTGTTTCAGCCAAAAAGCGAAAACGACCTCATAGTTTTGAAACTAATCCCAGTATCAGAAAAAGGCAACAGAATAGGCTTTTAAGAAAACTTAGAGTAAGTCTATAATCTGAATATTATTTTATATCATATATATGTATATTGCAAGCTTTATATAAATTCATTCTTTTTACAAGTATTCTTACCGAAATTTCTACAATTCCTCTTCTTAACACTATCTTAGAAAGATTTGGCGTTTTCTCATTAAAAAAGTCAACATTTGCAATATATAATATAGAATATAATATTGTCAAAAAATATAATATATATTTTTTATGTACATAGCATAATATATAACTTAATACATATTGTATTATATATATGTGTGTGTGTGTGTGTGTGTATGATTACGTATTTTCTTTTAAAATTTTACATTATTATTGCAGCAAACCATTGACGAATTTGCAACGCGAGTTGGTCAACAAGCAGTAGTGTTAGTGGCTACACCGGGCAAACCAAATAGTAGTTACAAAGTGTTTGGAGCGAAACCATTAGAAGACGTAGTGAAAAATCTAAGGACCGTTATCATGGAAGAACTTGAAAACGCGCTTGCACAACAAGCACCACCACCCTTGCAAGAGGATCCGACATTGTATGAATTACCACCACTGATAATCGACGGTATACCGACTCCGGTGGAGAAAATGACGCAAGCACAACTTAGAGCCTTTATCCCATTGATGTTAAAGTATTCCACTGGTAGAGGCAAACCTGGTTGGGGAAGAGATAGTACACGACCACCATGGTGGCCCAAGGAATTACCTTGGGCTAATGTCCGGATGGATGCGCGATCGGAGGACGAAAAGCAAAAGGTGCGTAAAAACCCACATACAAACAGTTTCGATTCTCTCTGTACGATATCTGCTTTAATTGAATGGTAGCTAAATAATATTTGATTATTTACTAAATAAAAATATATACATCAATAATTCTCTCTTTGAGAAAGAATTAAAATTTTACTCAAGAAATACATACATTTTTAATAATTTGTTGTTTACCTATTTCTTATATTTGACAGATCGATTTAACGAACGTCGATTGCTCGATTGGACAATTTATTTTAAGAAATCAAAATGTATTGTATTGATTAATTTCAGATCTCGTGGACTCACGCACTACGGCAGATTGTAATAAATTGTTATAAATTCCACGGAAGGGAAGATCTTCTGCCAGCGTTTAGCGAAGAGGATGACAAATCTAATGTCCTGATACAACAAGCGACGCCTCATTCCTCGTCACATCCGTCGCATTCGTCGAGTCAGGGGCAAAACGGAGGACAGTCGCAACAGCAACAGACGGTGGGAGTTGTTCGCCTCAACAGCACGGATTCATCTAAGGGAAACTCTTCGCCAGCACAAATCATTGCCGCGTCTCCCACAGCTCTTGCCACTGCCACTCAGGTGGGAGTGGATGGAGTGAATGAAGAAATAAAAATAGAAATTAAAATAGAATTGCATGAAACAACATTTGTAGATTAGCGATTATTCAATTTCAATTTTGTGTACAGCATTCTTATTTTGATATCTAAAAACATCATGTTTTGTATCTTGATCTCTAATCTCTCAAAATTTAGTTTTCATTCATGTTGTTTCTATCTAGTCTATGTCTCATAAAGGAAGAATCAATTGGCATAATTTTAAACATTTATGCTTTATGAGATACCGTCTTGATTTTTGTTGACGTTTTGTATTTGGTTTCCCTTATTTGAGTTGAAACTGCTTTTTTGTCATTATATTGAGCTGATTCTTTAAGAATATTGAATCTTAAAGAGGATATGTTAAAATAAAGCTTTAATTTTCATATAGTTACAATCTATTGCGGAATATTTAATAATATGAATTTTTATTTGTATTTTAAATTATTATAATTATAAAACAAATTATAATTAATATTTAAGTTGTAAAATTATAATTAAAATGAACATGTACAATGTTTTTTCAACACAGTAAAAGTTGCACTTTTGCTTCAAAAAGCAGAATTAATGTCATTCTGAAACGTGAAAAAATATAACTGTAACAAGGTCTATTCATTTTAAAATTCGAGATAGTACTTAAAAAAGTCAATTTTTCTGAAAACTTGTTTTTTTCAGTTAGAATAATGAAATTATATAAGATTAATTCTTATACTATTTCATTTTTATGATTTTTTAAATATATCTCTTCAATAATTTAGTTTTTCATCGTTTAGTTTTCACCATTTTGACGTTCCGCTAGATTGATAATTTATGAAATTTTTTAATGCAGCTCTTATGATGTGTGAACATCGAATTCAATACTATAATTTATAATTGTTTATACAGATGACAGCCCAATATCCAACAACTGTATTGCAGACAATAACAAATCCTGATGGTACAGTTTCAATTATACAAGTGGATCCCAGTACACCGATTATCACTTTACCAGATGGTACAACAGCCCAAGTTCAAGGAGTTGCTACTGTAAGTATCCTCCCAAAATCTGTCTATCTATCAAATTTTATACAACATATCTCACGAATTTTAATTTCAAAGAAACTCTCGAAAATGTCTATAAAGTATTAAAAAACTTTGATAAATTGTTTGGAAGATTTTGAGTTAAAAAATATAAATATATAAGCTGATTTATAATTGTCTACTTACATATATATAATTCTCAATATCTCTATTCTCAGTACTTATCTAATTATTACGACAATTTGAAGTTTAATTATCGTCATGGTTTCAAAACAAACGTGATATTAATAGAAACCGAAACAAAATAATATCAGACATAAATTCTAGTTTACATTTACATACGTATATATGTATAGAAGATTTTCCAGTAAGAAAAGGAAATAATGTAGAATACATATTGTGATATTATTAGCTATTGAATAGCAATATTTAAAGTTCCGAAAAATGTTCTATTTGGTATCTGAAGCTTCCCTCCATATTTATATGTAAAAGCCAATATATATATATATATATATATAAATCAAATACAGGTGGAAGTGTGAAATAAATATTTAATATAATATCATAAAATGCAATATTTTTACAAGGAATTTTTTATTTTTTATTTCTAGATTATCTTCATTTTAAAAAGAATACAAAATCAAAATTAATGCAATAGATAATATAAAGGAAAATCGAATGCTAGCAAACAATATAGATTAATACTTTATTTCACAAAATATACATATAATTTTAAACGTTCCAAATTATTTTTGAAATGTAATATTTTATCGAATTCTACTATTTTTTTAAGTAATTACTTCTTTGTGAAAAAAATAGTAGATGCCAAGATTAAATTAGAGACAAGAAAATTTAAAACCTTTTTAATGTCATATAATTAAAAAATAAATAAAATTAAGTAAGTCATACAAATAAAATTGTTTATATTATGATTGCATTTAGATCCATACAAGTCAAGGAGAAGTGCAAGCATTAGCAGAAGTAGCCGGTAGTACGGATGGTGCTAGTGTGGCCGTCGATCTGAATACCGTTACAGAAGCAACATTAGGTCAAGACGGTCAAATCATCCTCACCGGAGAAGATGGACACGGTAAAACAGTTTTTATAGGCTCTGCACCGTCGCCGGCCAGGAGATGATCGAGCAGTGACTTATTTTCTTTCTTTTTTTTCCTTTTTGTTACTTTGCATGCTGTCCGCTATGCTCCAATCGGGAATCATGTCTATATGTGTTGTACTACTTTGTATTCCGGAGTAGGATGATGTGAAATAGTTTATGTATTTGCCTTGTATTGTATATACATAGCAATTTTATATAAATGGAGCTATGCACAGCGCTTTATTTGAAATCTTGTTCTTTAAGAATCCAAAAAGCGCGTTTATATGTGACTTGGAAAGAAACTACCGAAAAATATTAATTAAAAAAATATGTGCACTTTGACATGTGATTTAGATTATATTATTTATTTGATATGTTTATGTGTTACATTATATTACTTCATTTTGAATTTTTTTAATTGTAAGAAATAAGAACTTCATCCATGTATGTAGACACATAATGCATGTAGATACATTTTCTCTTATATAATATAAATATATATAATGCATGAAATGTTTGTACATAGAAGAAATTATTATAATGATTGTACATGTCAAAGATGTCAAAGTACTTTTATGTGGAAAGTTTAGTAATGATTTAGGATTTTAGGATAATAAAAAAAGAAAAAATACAAGATGCAGACAATTGCATAAAGAAAACACGTATCTCTCGCTATTGGATTCTTAAAATTTTCAACTCAATAAAAATAACAAATTGAAAGAAGATTAAAAAATACCACAGTAACGCAAGAAACTGTTCTACGATTATTATATATTTATCATTATCACTGAAGATTGGTTTACTGACTTCAATTAAATGAAAAGAAATAAACTTGCTGTACATAGAGTATTTTTTGTTGATGTTTCATTATTTTTTATACATCTTAGCAGCTCCTGTGTTTAAGTTGCTTGTAATAAACAATGCGTCAGTCGTGCTGGCATTTATGTGTTTTTCGAAATTTCTCATGCGATATTTGAAATTTTAAGTTTTCTTTGCAAACAGCTTAAACACTTACGCTGCCCCTTATAAATGCCTTAGTTTTCTTAGATAGACTGTTAACTATGTTTCCATTTTATTAAGTTAAAAAGATGTGTCAGAGAGAGAATTATCATATAGTATTAAATCAAGTATCAAATATTAAATCTAGTTTTCTCTCTTAACACGTCACATTAATGAAATAATATGATTTTTATACTTTCAAATTGTTTTACATGTATGCAACATATATGATTCTGCTTTTTAAAGTCTCTTCTAAGATCGTGATCCTTAACTGACACATAGCAAATTATTATTCTTGTTTCCCTTTATCCTCTGTAAAACTTGTACGTGCTTAAAATCTGTGATTTATACATATGTATACAATTAATACAATTAATTATATTTAATATTTTCGCAAATTATATATATATATATATATATATTTTACGAAAATATTAAATAGATTTAATTGTTACCATTATCGAGATGGAAGATACATATGTATAAATCACAGATTTTAAACACATACATATATATATGAGAGATGATACAAGATCATTTAAAAGAAAAAAATGTGTCAATTAAGAGTTAATACAATAATACGTTCGATTGTATGACAAACTAGTAGTTTGTTACTATAGATGCTAAAATTGTTCCAAACATAAAGAATGCGTAGTGCAAACAACACGATTTTTAATCATGCACAGATTCAAACGTTGATTCGATTTTAGCGCTTTGCAAACAGCTTCTTGACGTTGTCGCATTGTGAGTATAATTGAGATATTTGTTTATAATTTTCTCTTTATATTCTCTCTTCCAGTTTGTGCAATAAACAAATGACTGCGCACTCCAGATAACGGATAAAAAGCTGGACGTTAATCGCGTGTTTGTTTCAGGATATCCTGTCTCGGTCTCAGGAGTGATCACTGTGCCAGTATCTGCTAGCATGTATCAGACTATGGTGGCCAATATTCAGAGCGACGGTACGATGCAAGTGGTGACGCCGATGGTTCAGGTACCGAAGGTAGAACCAGGAAACGGTGACACCACCATCGAGGCAGTCACTATACAGGGTCATCCTATGACTATGATAAACGCTGCCGGAGAGCATCAGGTCCTTCAAGTAATCTCGTTGAAGGACGCCAATGTTCTGACGAAGGCTATGCAAGCCGAGGTTGTCAAGGACGAGGATAGCCAACAACAACAAACTGTATCTAGCCCGGAATAGACGCGTGTTTTAAGTGTAATCTAGTTAATCCAAAATCGCTCCATATCACCATATGCGCGCGTTTCGCGGTGATACACGGGGAAAAGAGAGAGATAAAAGTGTGAGAGAATTAGTAATGGATTGGTGTTGTGTTCTTTTTTCTCTTTGAGTCACTGTACTTGTGTAGTGTGTCTTTGCTCTGACTGCGAACAGCGAAATATCTGAAAGTGAGAATGGACGAGTGCGTATATTGATTGATTGGATTAAGATTAATATAGAGTATTTGTACTCGAGATTCATTGTAGATGCTTGAGAGTATTCACTTGCAATTCAATTTTCTCGAATGTAGTATTCATTTTCAAACAAATGTAATCGCGCCGAATATTGGACGAACGTGTCTCTTTCCGTTTTAGCAAATAGTTTGCGACATTATCGATCTCTTGCATTGTTTTCTCTACCGAAAAATGGAAAGTCATCGATATAATCGTGCTTTCTGATATCGCGCAACCATGTACTTTCCGTCTAGTCTCAGAACCAGGTTGATACGTGAAACACACCAAAGACATGTATTTTTAATTAATTCGAGAACTTCATCACGGCAATCGTGAAAGCTCTATCGCTTCCATAATAGCTCAGTAAAGAAAATTTGTTCAGCTTTTCTTTTTTACTAGCACATAAAAAGTAATTGATCTTAAAATTTGACAAAGGCACGAAGCTTCTCTAATTTATAAATGTTTATACAAGAAAAATCACGAAATTTGATTTCATGAAAATCGATCGTTTATCGAACATCGAACCATTGTAAATGAAAAAAAAAACAACTCGAATACAAATTGAATGAATCGATGCGTTTGAACAGTTGGAGATATCAAGTTTGAATTAGAGATGTGTTTCGAAATGTGACATACGTTTGAATTTTACAATCATCCGAAAATTCCAATCATTAAAGAGAAAAATATCGATACAATTTCTTTTTTCTATCGCAGTTATGTAATAGTATACAGAGTTTTATTTTATCTCGATCGCTTGGAGTACATCCGTTGCTTTTTTGTAAATGGTGCGAAGAAATTTTCGCATCGCGTTAAAAAGTAACGACGATGTACCAGATGGTCAAGATGAAGGAAAATAGCTCCTGTATATGTAATATATACATAAAAATCGATAGTAGAGATAATGAAAAAAAAAGTTAAGCATTTCTGACGGGTACAAATAGGATGTAAGATGTATGTTTTTTCGAGGAAAAAAATCATCATGTTAATGGATTTGAAATTTCAATACGCACCAACGCGAGAGGCGTGTGTCCATAGTCTTATTTTACAAGAATTCTATATTGCACCACTTACTACTACTTAATACTACTATTCGCTTCGATTAGCATAATTGATAAGGGGAGCTATCGTATGATTTTTATCAACGCGATAAAAGGAGGTAGGAAATTATATTTCTATGAATGATTATTTTAAATGTCAATCTCTTGAAAATTTATCGAAACTATGACCGAACATGTATGTATGTACTAATTTTTTAAAACAGAATACGCGATTGTAAAAACCAGGATTCATATACATATATATATTATCCTTCAATCAATTTGAAGGTAATCAAAAGTAATCGATTCTATTTTACATTAAATAGTCTGACTGTGTCACACATGGTATTTAAATCATCAATCCATTTTTATAATGTATCTAAAGCGACGAAAGGTGTATTTTTTGCGTGCAATCTTGTTTCAATGTTGCGGTGGCAAAAGTTGAAATCATCTGTTTTTGTATATAATTTTGTTTTTTAAGTCATAACGAAAAGGAGGTCTATAATTTTATCATTCACCTTTTTTTCGTTACGTATAACATATATTATAAATATATATTATACATGCAACGGCGGTTTCATTCTTTTGTTTAGCATTGTGTACATTATAAATTAAATTGGAAAACTCTACAATCAGATATATAATGACATTTACCTTAAAGATCGTAACATTGAAACAACAAATTGCCCTCGAAATCGTGTGTAATAATACCAAAGAGATTTTTATAACATTATAGGAAGATATAGAGTTGAGATTAGAGGTAAATACTATTAAAAACGTATCATAATGACTAGATACTAATTGTTGCGTTGTTTTTTTAAGATTCAAGGCCACTACATTAATGATGTAATATATCAGTATCCACGTATGTAAGATAAACATGTTATATTTTCCCTCTGTTGTTTGTAACAAAGCACACACGGAGCATAAATTAAGTTAAATGTCATTCAAGAAACAAAAAAAAATGTGTATTACAACTTTAGATAATTATAGACGTATGTGTAAATGACTTTGCTACTGTATATCCCAATCTCCATTTCGTATAAATTGTCATTTCAATTTTACCTCCACTCTTACCATTAATTACTTGTCACTTAAAGAGATTAACAATATTGGCCAATTAAATGACAATTTCTTGGAGCAAAATTTGGAATAGCCTTATTGAAAATAATTTATCAAAAACATTAGATGTTTTAAATATTATCTATCTGAGTCTTAAATTAAAATTCTGGCAATTTTATATATAATAGAAATTACATGTGATTTTTCATGAAGATAGACATTAATTGTGGCAATTTTTTTATTCAACAATGCTGCTGACAAGGTACATGGAAAGTATAGTTCAGCTTTGTTGATAATTACTCCTTATTATATGCACCTGAGACAGCAGCTAAGAGAACATAAATACTAGTATTTATAGTATAATTTTTAACCTGTTACATATGATACACTGATTCACAGGCTAATTCTGGCTTGTCGTAACCTAGCTCCTCGGGTGTGCTGATGCCTAGCTCATCTAAAGTTGGTCTAATCTCTTGAATTATGTAAGGATAAATCTTGTCAACATGTGGTCCAGCTTTATCTTTCACAGATTCTAGGAATCTTACAGCCAGTGCAAAGTCATTTAATCTTCTGCAAGCTTTTAATGCTGCACATATAATGACTGGTTCCGGTACATTGTCCATACCTAGATAAAATATATAATTGTTAGTACAAATTTATTTTACAATCCATAACAAGAGAGTGAGACAGTATAAACATGCTAATGTTATGATAAATGTAGATAATTCAAAATTAAGATTTATTATTATATTTTATATCTATTCTTTCTCTAACTGCAGTTTCTACATTTCTTTAAATTTTCATTTTTCGTTTTAAATAAGACATTTCAATAATTATACATGTAACACAGATTGATTGACAAATTTTAGAATAAATTTATTTTTTAAATTAATGGAAACAGTGAGACAGAAGTTTTCGAATATAATTAACTACTATAAATATATATGTGTGAAAATAAAGAGCTTCTATTGGAAAATAATAAAACTTGAGATGAATAAATGTCATATTTTTCAAGTAATTGCAAGTCAACTTTACTAGTATTTTAATTTAAAATTTAATGAAAAATGATTTTCTGAGCTAAAGAGAAGTTTCTGATTGATCAAAAAGAAGCTATTCACTCATTGATGATTTCACTAGCTTTACTTAAAAAATATAAAGCAGGGAGATTAGAAGAAATGGTCTTTTTCTTCGGATGTTTTTATCAGGATGACTGAGAATCGAGGTGTCCGATTAGTTGGAGGTGTCATTGCTGATTTGAGTGATCGTTAATCCATGACAGAAGCTCGAGACTCACCAGCCAGGTCATTCATGGCCTTTCGGATCTCCCAGCTATCGATGTCGTTGCGGCTGAAGAAGTTGACGTATCGCTGATCGAACTCCTCGTCTGTTTCTTTGGGACCGTGGGACGCCCTGACGCTCTGGGTGCCGACGACGCTGGTAACCGCCACTCGGGGCACCATCGCCGAGGCCATACGTGCCGCTACGACGCGCAGCATCTTCTCACCCGAAAATGCTTTCTCTCTTTTCGTTTGAAAAAAATTTCTTCCTCCTCGATACCGTCTGTCTTGGTCTGTTGCGTAAACCAGCCAGGACGGAAATCGGAAGTTGACCGAGTTCACTTTCGCGCCACCAGATGGCGCGATTCTTTCCAGCGCGCATTTTTAAACTTGATTGCTGTTTCGAGCACTACAGCTGTCAGAGAAATCTCACCTTATTTTTCACAAGATATATATATATATATATATATATATATATATATATATATATTTAGGATATACAAGTTTTCTTTCTCTATCCTAATATCCAGAATATTTAAAAATTAAATTAAATTCAAATTAAATTTAAAAAATTAAATTATTTTTTTTGTGATATAGAATAAGTGTCCTTTTCATGATAAATTCATCACAATCGTGCTTCCTTCATTAAATAATTCCAAAACAATAAGTTAAAAAATGAGAATTATTTACAATTAATTGGAAACATGTAATTAGTTTCAAACATAAAAAGAACATTTATCTTGATGAAATTTTTTAATGAGTTTATGACAAGTGTAAGTTAATGTTTTAATACAGTTTGAACATTTTTAATTGATTTGTGTGACTGCTATTAATAAAATAAAATATTTAATTTTACTAATACATCTTTTTACATCTTAATATTAGCAGATATGGTGATATCAGTAAAGAAACAAATTTTTTACAATGTTACTGTATTTACAAAAATTGGATTATAAATCGTACAAGTAGGGTCGCTGTTACAAAAAAATTCGTTACATCAAAAATAATTAGATCCTTATTATGTTTGTAGTAATAGTCATGGTGCAATTTATACGTATATTAGAGGTATATTGACTATTTTTTTCCATTCCGCGAACTTAAATACAACTTTATACAAAGTATATAAAAGCCGTCTCGCAGGCCGTTTTAAATACACATCTCGAGTACTCGCATATGTATACAAAAATTGACTTGATGTAAAGAAATACTCCTCGCTTAATATATTGTACATAAAATTTCACGCGTGTCACACATTACGTGACAACATTGCGTGTCGCATATATGCGTGACTATTGGTCACCGATACTATATATATATATATGTATATATTACACAGATTTATACAAGAGGTATGAATTAGAATAGGAATAGGATACTCTCCATTAAATTAAGTACCGTCATTGTACGTCGCGTATTTGCAACGTGTATTATTATAATAATCTCGCTTATAAAAGATATAAATAAAAGTATTTTTACAAGTCAACATCAGATTCGTGCGTGAAATCGTACAAGCACCGCTCATTCGCACACGCGTATCCGTGTGCGAAAAAACGCCGAGGAATATTATTGTTATAAAAATAAATAATAAATAGGTCTCATACACAGAGATTCGGTATATCGCTCGTGGTCACATACATACTGCGCATTACGTATACATATACATTGATATAGATATACACACATACATATATATATATATATATATATATATATATATATATATATATATCATTAACATAGAAAAAATAAATAGTACTATCGGAAAATTCCATCGCACTTCTCGATGAGGCATCGCCTTCGCAAAACATTTGATGTCGCAATTACAATTGAAAAACATCGCATAATCTCTACCGGCGTAAGTCCTTAATTTTTCTAATTAAAATTACCTGTAGTAACACAGGTATATACATATTAATTAGTACTTTCTCCCAATTAAGTATGCGTTTTGTAAATGTTCCCAGCAAACACAGTATATAAATGTTATATACTTAAGCATGTTACATGTAACGTATATGTTAGTTGTAATTTCCCACTCATAGATGTAACATTTTTAATATTACATATATCACATTGTAGTTATATTGTCATTATATCGCAAGATAGCACTGACTTATCAATACATCAATGTGCTATTTGGTATATAATTACAATATAACTACAATGTAATATATGTTATATTAAAATGTTACATCTATGAGTGGGAAATTACAACTAACATGGATGTTACATGTAACGTGAACGTTATATTATCTGTTATATTCCGTTTTATTATAGATATGTAACAATTATATATCGGTGTTTGCTGGGTTACCACATCGGTGCCTTTCATTTACTAAACAGACAGAACAGATATTGCCATATACTATCTCGACAGAACAAATCACGCAATGCGTTTTTATCGATAGTATACGACCCAAACCACTCTCTTATCTCGCGGCGCAAGTCATTCATTAAATAAATTTATCTAAAATATAGTCTAGTGAATTTATTTGTCGAAGTTGTACGCACATTTTTGTCATCGATAATACTATCACACGTTTAATGCTGTTGAAATATTTGAATAACATGTCATTTCATTTTATTTTGCTTAAAATTTAATTTTGTACACACAAATAGGTACTATATATATAGATCGAGTAAAAGCACTACATTCAGTTTTGCTGATGAGAACGATAAAAAAAGGAAAAAAATGACAAAGACAAGAGAGAAGTTAAGAATCAAAAAGTTGTAAAACAAAATTTGATTCAAAAAGAATAACAAGTTTCTTCTCATGCTTGTGCAGTCTTCTGTCAAAAAAAGAAACAGAAGTTTTCATTTTTTCTGCTCTTTCTCTCTGTATTCTTCAAATTACATCATTATATTCGATCTATATATATCTCTATATGGTATCTCTTGTAATTAAAAATTTTAGTATAATTTACTTAAAATCATTATAGCAATTTGTATGTTTATAATATACGTATAGAATATAAATATGGATCCTGATTCTAAAAATTCTAATTAAATTGCATTATATTATATTGTATTTAATTGTAAATACAATTTTGCTTCTTATATTTCTTCGAGTATGTCATTTAAAAAAATTCGGTATAAAAAGTATTAAACATGAGATATTAATATTGTCCAAAAAGTATTTACATACATTATAAAAATACAATTGTGCGCTTGTAATACTTTCGTCTTTAAAGATCGAGTAAGACAACCATGCATGTTGTATTACTCATTTGAGAGAGAGGGCAGACAGAAAGAGAAGGAAATGGATGAAAAGGGCGAGGCCGGAGAAAGAAAGGAAAAAGAGAAGATGGAAAAATGATTAATCTATCCTAGTCAGCCTTCTGTATTTTCCCGCTTTGCGTGGTACTTGAGCAGCAGCTGCTGGTCCCCCCGGTTATCAATGTTTTGAGTTAAAGTCTGAATCCGGTTCAGAGCCGGAAGACTCCCCAGTATTAACGTTCGCACTGCAGCGCGAGCTCCTTCGATTACCGGTGCCAGTGTGCCGGCATTTTTCACTACGATCCACTCCACCTATAATTTTTAATTTTAATTTTTACAAAAATAAGCATGTTTTTATCGTGATACATTAACTTGCAAAGCTATTATTACAATAACAACAAAAATGGGGATTAATACACCAAGATTTATTATGTTATGTTTTAGCAATATATGTTTTTATTGTAATTTTCAAAGAGACTTTTTTCTAAGAAGAAACTATTAAAATTATCGACATAAATGAAATAAAATGAAGTATTCAGAAGCGAATTCTAGTAGTACTCGCTCACAATTGTGTTAGTAAAAAAAAGCACTTCAAGTTAGTTCAAGTATCGGCATTTTTAAATAATATTAGAGAATCTTTTAAATGAGTTATACTCACTAGTTAACGGTGTGTGAACCTCGACCTTGATGTTCGCCGTTGCAGTGACCTTGGTGGTAATGTGTGGAGTGGACGGAACCGGTGACGTTCGACTAGACCCGCTCGTGTCCGATCCGCTACAGTTCTGTTAGTCAAAATGACAGGAGAACACGCTCGTTAGTCATGCTCGGAGAGGATGTGCGACAAATTACACTTCATGAGGGAAGATACGCTTCCATGCTGATTGATCAATCGCGAGTCTATTGTTACAACTCTTTCACGCACCTGATTGCCGCATGTGGACGTAGTTTCCACCTTGAGTTCCGGGTGGACGATAATGCAAGACTCCTGCGTGCTATGCCATGAGTTAGGCTCTTCTGTGATGGTTGTGAGGGACGGTTCGGCGTGCAACCTAGCATTCTCAATCTTGTGAGACCTCCTTGGCGGCGCAGGAGGCTTGGATCTTCTCACGATGGGCGATGCCGGTGGTGTCGGCGTAGAGATACGATCCGGATGATCATTCGGGATCACTTCCGCTGACGGACCAATCAGAGACAACAGAATCGGGAAGAAGAAGACGCCATTTATAAAGCCGACGCCGATTATGCATAACAGTATCAAGAAGAAATGTTTGACTATAAAGTCAAATTCGGAGAAGGCAAGCATCACCACAGCGAGCAGCATGGTAAGCGCGCCGTGAACGATCGGAGCGTACATATGTTCCAGAGCTAAGCGCATTCTGCGATCTCTACTGCCCACACTAGTGACGAAACTCTAAAAAAAAAAAAGATTTACTTTGAATTTTTAAAAAATCGTACGATATTTTTGAACTCATAATTCAATACAAAATGAGAAACATAAAGTTAAGTTTATAAAATATTACAACACTAATATGAGGAAACTTTAAATACACTTACCAAACAAATGTGCACCGTGAAGTGAACGGTTATGCCGACGCTGATTATGAGCAGGACGGCGGGCACGGCACTCAACTTGATGCCAAATAGACCCATGATGCCTAACAACTGCAGAACGACGGCACCTAGTGAAGTGCCGACCAGCAGAGTGGCCCACATATTCAGCAACAAGACTCCGACGACGATGATGCTCGTGATCAAAGCGGCCAGAAGAGAGATTCCCAAACAGCTCCTCAGATCCATGTATTGTTCCCAGAAGAGAAACGGTAGGCCGGATGGAAAATTTGGCAGGCCGCGCTCCTCAAATCTTTTGCACAGTTTCCGGATGCTACCGATCAATTCTGTAATCTCCTGCGTGTCGGTGAGCTTGTGCAGATTGAACGGCATTTGCGCATAAGTAAGTGGCATACTCTTTGGGATTTTCAGCTCATGATCGTTGGTATAAATCCACTGACGCGGCTCAGGTCGCAGATTCGCCTGCGAGGCACCATAGGCAAGCGCGTCATTGGACGCCCAAGCACTCAGGTAGTTGTAGAAAGCGCGAGGATTGATGATACCTTCTGAATCGACCAATCGTACTTGAGTAATCAACGTCTTGTCGATTGGATTGTCCACGTAGCCAGTTTGCACAAGCAGCTTATATGCCAGAATTGCTTCGTCGCTCGCATTCTTATACCACCTCTCCTGGGTGATGCAACCGTTGTTATAGTCCTTGTCGAACGCTGCCTGTAGATTTTTTAGCCAATCACGGAACATACCGAGCCAGAACTCAGATAGTCCGCCGTTGTCGTTCTTGATAACGTTTTTGATCCGCACGAAAGCATCGTGATACTCGTACAACAGTCGTTGATTGTTCGGATATTCAAAATCTCGTCCGGTAATTGCATACATATTGTAGAAACCAAAGTGCTTCGCCTGGGAGGCTAAAAATGCATGCTCGTTCGAGTTCTGCGGCACCAGATCGGTCAAGTCCAAACCATCACGTACGCGCATCGCTTCCCATACGCTGCCGGCCAGTACGATGATTAAAACCATCATGCCAAACACTTTGGTGGCAGGTCGGCTGATGAAGGGTGCATAATGCCGGGCCGCAAGCTGTGTCAGGGAAAAACTCAAGCAGTCATCCTGAGAACAACCGGTCAAAGTGTCCTCCTCAGTGCACTGCCTTTCCAGATCTACGTCGATATGTCCACCTATCTGCAATAATAAAGAAATATTCATAAACCAAGCTACGTAATTTAAATTCGATGTAAAAAATAACATTATTTTTCTATTATTTTATTTTACTCGTAATAGCAAGTTCTTTTTGTTGTATTAGCAGGTGGTAACCGTCTATTAAATTAAATTTCTTCAATTTTTATTAATTTATACGTTAAAATACATTTATCCTTTTTTTTTATAGAATAAGATTCGGTATATATACACACAATATGCATACATGTATGTTATTTCATACCCAGGATTCGTTTTGCGTGTTGTGCGATGTTAGGATCTGAGTACAAGTCTCTCGTCTTTCAGGCGGGATCGCCCTGGTGACCATCTGCTTGACCGTGCCGTTACTCTTCATCGAGTACTTGTTCTTTTTGAGATTTGGCATCGCCGGCAAGCAACAGCAGAGGATGTCTTTCCTGCCTGAGCGTCTACGTCGCAGATCCAGACTGACCATCGCGGGGAAGATAAGCAGCATAGCGGCCAAATTGAACAGCAGCAAGATACCGGTTTGCAGGCAGAACGTTCTGAGAGCCGGGATCGGGATGATCGCCGCGGCAAAGAAGGCGGAAACATTGCTGAGGCCCGTCAGCAGCACCGACAGACCGGTTCGTTTGAGAACGACTCCCGTCTGCTCGCCGCTGGGCACCTCGTTCACCGACAGCTCGGCGTACGTGTGTGTCAGCAGGAACATGTCATGTACGCCCAGACCGAGTGCGAGAAACGGCACTATCTGCGTCGTAGTGGCGTTAAACGGAATACCCAGAAGCGCGCAGAAGCCCAATCCTGCGGCTACCGTAGCGCAAATCAGCATCACGCCGGCTATTCCTACTCCGGATTGCGAGCGCACTGGATCCTTCCAACGAAGGAGGGCTATCCCAGCGTACAGCAACTGGAATCAAATGATATAAATCAATAAAATAAATCCCACTAATAGAAAGCAGTTAATTAAAACGAGCACTGATGAGTATTTTTAAGCTTCATATCACAAACATAGTAATTATATAATTATTTAGTTACAGAGTTTGATTTCTAACCATAAGAGCGCCACCGATTGCGATCTTCATGACGGACACCTCGCTGTATTTCCCGAGGATGTCATTCAAGGTGGTGGTACTGAAGGCGTTCATGTTGTACGGCATCGACACGTTCATGTTCACCTGCCTCTTCACCTCGTTGCTAAATGTTCTCTGCCAAGTCTCTAACACCTGGGCTGCTTTTTCCTGTGACCAATCGATATGGTGGACTTTGTAGGTGTTTACCAGAAAGTCGTACAATTCCCGTTCGCCCATAAGCTGCACTACGGTCTGCAATGCGGCCGCACGAGTCAAATGACCCGTCTTGTTGTGCCTGGCGCCGCCGATTAGCAGCTCTTCCGGCCAATGCATGTACTTGGCTGCGAATCCGTAGCAGCCGCCTGTCAACTCGACTCCTACATCAGGTACCTGTTGCAAAAAAATTGCATTTTAAAACAGATATGAAAAACCGCCTGGAACAAAATTGGTTTGACATTTTGTTATCAATTTTTGATGATCAGATATATGAGAAATGTGCCGTTTTTCAATCTACAATTTTTAAAAAATATATAATATAATAATTAATATTAAAAAAAAAAAAAAACATGTAAGATTTAAATAAAGTTTCGATTATTCATGCGTGATTTCAATTTCAAGCGCACGCGATTAAAACGCGTTTCTTCCTCTATCCGTCACCTTGAGAGCTCTTCTGCAACATTTTGTTTTTCATCTATGAGTCTCTCGAGCGTGACCGCGAAGGTAGAATCGTGTCAAGTCACGCCAGGAATGCCTCTGGTAAAAAATTATTACAGAGGCAGGGAGACAGGGGACGCGATTCAAGCGACGTTCTTTCCTATAGGGTAGTCAGGGTGGATCCGTCGGACCCCACAGCGAGATATTTTATAGAGTCCTATAAAAGGGCATACCAGCCGCGACTTTGGGCGATCTAGCCGTCTCCGGACAGCTTGTCCTTTATATCATGCAAGAACGGATGAGCGCGAGGCAACAAAGAATAGAGTCTCGACAACGGAATTATTCGCTGTATCTGGACACATCTTGGAGCGAAGGTTTTCCTCCCCCGATTGTGTATATAGAAATACACCGATGATGTCTCTCTTTCCTTGAATCAAGATGTTTCGATCGAACTTTCTTTCTCCCTACAACAGTTTTATAACCGTAGCTATTTTAAGAAGCCGCAGTCAATAATCTCTAAGCTTAGAGTTGATTGAAGATAAAACTCTTCTCAAGAAATCAAACTTGACATGAGAAACAGATGTTAAATTCTTCAAATAATTTTCTTTGCTAGATTTTACTTTCACGTAATTTGGAGTTAATTACGAAAATATCTAAGATCAAGAACTGAAAACTCGGAAATAGATTTCAAAAAAATAGAAAAAGATTTATGATTCTTGCCACTTTACAAAGGCATATCTTTATACTAATTGAATGCAATTGGTACAAGGTAATGTGATCAGAAATAGTTGTCCGAATCAAATTAGAGGCGCGTGATTGCATCGAAAATAATATAGACGAGAGATTTATAATATGCAGCAAAGACAAATATACCAAATAAAGCCTCGCCATCGTCCTCACATTGCGACTCGAATCGACTACCTCACACCTGGTCGCTGTTATGTAATTCCAGAAGAAGAAGCGTGTAGAATGTAGTCGAGTCATCGGCACGCTTTTCGTGCTTTTTACTCGTGCTCGTGACACCTTCTACACCGGACGTGTCTTCTGACGTGCTTGAGAGAGAAACGTGCGCACGAATGCACTGGTATCTCTAATTCTGGCTAATGTCTATGCGTGTTTCTCAAGTTTTTAACTCACGTATGCATTGAGACAATTAATTTTACAATTATCGATAAACGAAGATTGATTCGTTATTTAATTAATGATCTTGGCAAAATTAATTTCGACGTAACTAGCAATTTTATTCAATACTTTCACGACGTTTCGACCATTTGGTTGTGGTCACTTGATAAGGACCACAACCAAATAGTCGAAACGTCGTGAAAGTATTGAATAAAATTGCTAATTACGTCGAAATCAATTTTGCCAATTTTATTTTCACCACTAGCGCCCAATATTAATTTTGATTGATCTTAATCAATGATGTTGATCACAAAATTGATTAGCGTCATTTAGTAAAGCAATTTTTTGTTGATGTTCCATGTTTCTTCAAAAAGTTGTTCGTTGTTCCTCCAGTGAAGACATAGCTTTAGCTGTCGAAAGAACGACGCATCGTCTTTGAAGAGACACCCCGTGTATTCTCGGCGGAATACGCCGATGCCGGTTCTCGACTTAAACACCCGATCAACGTGCCCCGCCTGCAGCTACACTCGAAATATTCCATGCATACCGCGTGGTGGTACCATTAAGTGCAATTACCTTAAGTACGAGAGCGCGCATACATCCGTTATGAAAATAGAAATAGATGTGTGTCCGAAGATGACGGAAAGAGAAAGAAAGAAGAAAGAGAGAACCCGGGAAAAGGGTGGGGCACGCACGTAACTTCGCCGATGTACGCACACGTAGCGATTCACGTCGTGCACGTGTCAGAGCATGCCGGCCGGTGCGTATGTTAATGACACCGAAATGACGGCCGCGTAGGGAGGAGAAGAAGAGAGCAGACCTGCCGGGCCGGGCGTGGTGCTCTCGCGACCACCGGCGTAGCGCAATAATGACGCACGTCACTCGATTTTATTATTTTAATGAACGGGGGCCTCCCTCCCCCACGCCGAGGCCCACGCGACTCGCATATTCATCGGCAGTTTCGCGCGAGGAATCGCCTTTTCATTTATAAACCGAGTCTCTTCCTCCCTTATCTTCTTGACGAAAATCACGTAGTCGAGCATCGTGAATGACGAAATCGTTAAATTGAGAAAAGCGTTATTTTTTTCTCCCTTATTAGAGACCACAAACTAGGACGTTTCAAGTTTGATTTAATTATTACTTTTCCAAGTGATCTTCGCGTTGGAAATTAAACAAATGGATCCATGACAGATTATCGGAATTGACGGAAATTGCAATAGCTCGATCTGAAGCAAATTATAGCCATCGTAATCGTGAGAGCAGCTTGAAAACTAAAAACTCTCGGTAGCAAACGAGACGAATACACGATATCGCGAAAAAAATTTCGATCGTAGAGAGACGTGCGGTTAAATATTCATCGTAGACGATGTCCGCGGAATTGCTGCTTGAACATCAAAGCGACCATCGATTCGCAATCGTCGTGTTCGCTACAGAATATCAAACGTTCACTCGTTATTCTTAACGCGAATCGCACGCACGAACGCCGCCGGTTGACAGTCTTTATATTATCTTGTTACGACGTTTTTTGTTTTTTTTTTTGTTCAACGTGGTTGTTTGTCGAATTACAGCTCACAATTTTAGCTAAAAGCACGAAGTTTCTTTTTCTTGCGTCAGATCCCAAATCTCGTCCCATTACCAAACCGTGCGTATTTTTACGGTACATCTCTCGCATACTTGTTACAACATCGTAAATTCTCGTCAAGACATCTTTTTGGGATACTTTTAAAGATCGTTCAATCGGATCATCGAGCGATTCTAGCGATTGAGTCCTCGATCGACGGATCTTACCTGTTGAAATTTTTTGTTAGGCGCGGTTTCCGGGCATTCCGGATCCGCCGGATTCAAGCAAGGCTTGCTCTGATAGCCGTTCGTTATTCCGGCTCTCTTCATGTAGTCCTCGAGTGTTTTAAAGGGAAACGAGAACTGCAACTTCTTCATCTGCTCCAACATTCTGGTGGGATTAAGGTTCGTCCATTGGAGGGGTTCGTTCTTCGTTCCACTGCTTAAGTCAAAGACAGATCTAAATGATTTCGTCGGACATTAGCTATGTAGTATATGTGTGTGTGTGTTTGAGACTTATTGTTAGATTTATGCACGTCTAATTAGATTAAATATCGATATTGATATGTTAAAAGGTATACATTTTTAAGAAATAAAAATAAAATTTAGCCGCTAAATATTTTAATTCCTTTTGTCATTTATCATGAAAGTAAATTGTCAAAAAGTTAATATATACTTACGGTAGATGAACGGGATATTCTGGACCCAAGAGTTTGCTACCTTCCCAGAAACAATCGAGAGGTGTCATGATGGCGCAAGGTATAATACTCTCAAAAATCTGCAAATAAAAGATGAAAAGCTGTCAACGTCTTTTCTTTTCCTTCCTCTCAAATAGAACATACTTTAATATCGTTATCAATACGTTTTAATCATCATTATTCAGCTGGATCTTTAATTATGTTTTATATCAGATTTAACGTATATATGTCATAATGATTAAGGATGCAGCTATGTCTAATTATGGTTTTCTCGAAATTCTTGCACTTCAAGTTGATTGAATCGACAGAGAGGAGGGAAGTTCACTTTCTCCGTTCCGAGAAGTTGGCGATCGTTTTCGCGTGGAATGACTCGAACCGCACCTGACACGGTACCGCAGCGGGACGCCGGCGCCATTATTCAACGCTAATTGCTCATTCCCTTGTCCTGTGCCCTTCGCAACCTTGCCCCACGCGTATGCAACCGATACGACGTCAATGTCCACTTGCGTACACGTAAAAGCGGATTTGTATCGGAACAGAGAGAAAGAGAGAGTGAGAAGCGTACGTATAAGTACACAAATTTTGCCATCATGTACGAATTTTGTAGTTATATAATTTATACAGGGTGTCCCATTAATGTCCCACCCTAAATAATTTTTATTTTTGCTTGTAAAAGATGTTTCAGACAAAAGTTGTATGATTTATAATATATATATATATAATAATCCTGTATATAATATGTCTATATAGATTTCATTACTGAATTTTAAATTTAATTTAAATACAATTATATGTAAAAAAAATAATTTAATTTTTCTTTAAATAAAAATGATTGCTATTATTATTAGCATACAATGACTACATTCGTTCTAATTATTAACAAATTTTAGTTATAACGTTTAATTACAAACGTAAAAGCGATAAAGGATAACGTCGTGCATATAAAATATGATTGACGTGTAAATTGCACGGGGAGATACTCGGGATACATTTGCGATTCAATTCGATTCAATTGGTATGGCTTCGCGAAAAAAAGAAGAACGGACCGAAAGATAAAAGGTAATCGAATCGTCGGATGAATCGATGCGAATGCAAGGGAGACCGTTCTTGCAAATGAATGCAAATTATGAGTTTGGCGAGATTGCTTCTCGAGCGTCATTCAGGAAACGCGAGCTGTTTAAACAGCGCTTAGATACAAGGTGTAATCTAAGATGATCCTATCCGTCGTCGGATGTAAGACGCGCGCAAGGGTTACGAAAGAACGCGGGACCGCCCTATTCGAGTTTCCTGGAACCCAGAGGTGGGCCCTCGTAATGGCCTAGTACCCAGAAAAACCGTGCGACGACCGTTAATGTCGGACTCGGAGATATTAGTAGGATCGGATTTTGTTTACCGCTCTATACGGAGAAAAATCATCCTTTCTTTTCGCTTATTTCTTTGTTATTGTTGAGAAAAAAAAAACAACAACACTTTCGAGCGCGTCTTTGATCTCAGATAACATTGTGGTATCCTGCGGCGAAAATCTCTCGCAAGAGTTCCCAGAACTGAACTTTGATTTCTTTAGCCAGAACTAAAAATTAAAGTAAAATTAATATGCATTGATAGGGGAAGAATTCTCACTCTTTCTCTCGTAAATGTGTCGGTGGTGCATAAGAAAGCAGTCTCTCTTTCTGGCTGGCGAAACACGTTTGTAATGTCCCGGAAGCGAGACATCGGTTGCGTTCGTGATGAAATCTCGAGACTCAAGTTTTTTCCCTCGAAATGCCTTCGCCGCGGTTCTCTTCAACGCGTTCACTCGTTAGTCGCAAGTGTGAAGCAATGCGAAAACGTGCACATATTTTATACTTTAAAGCCTCTCAAACTTTAATATCCTCTTAATTGGGATTCTTCTCCAAGAAAAACAAAATGCAAGATTGTGTCAATTCTTATCCGTAATAAAGTATCGTGAGTAATCGTGACAGAAATTCTGCTAAGAAACAATATGTGTGCATTAAACTGCGTCTTCACTGAAGCAACAACAAGCAACTTTTTGTTCATGTTCCGTGTTTCTTAAAAAAGTTGCTAGTTGAATCGCAACAGGAACAAACGTTCTTTCAATTTTCAGTGACACAGTCGCGATTAAAATAGGAACAAAATCCAAATGTGCTTATAGTTATGTTCAGTATGGATAAAATGTTGTCGCAAGTTGAAACATATATAGCAACAATAAACAACAAAAAGTTACTTTGTGTTACTCCAGTGAGGATATAGCTTTATAATAAAAGTTCAGGCTAATATAATTAATAATGCAAGATAATGAGAGACGGTAAATGTTTCTCATCCTTTTTCACCGAGCTCGAAGATTTCAATGTCGCCATTTCTCAACAACAGCTATATCGATACTTTATTAACGGATACACGTCACGTACGTGTCACGTGCGCGCGTTGATACCTTCGCTAGGGGTCTAATGGGGCTCCCGAGCCGAGCCGAGCCGAGAGACGAGACGAGACGGTGCGTAAACACGCGTCCATTCATGCTACACATTCGTGCGTATGCGTCGTGTATACACGCTCGTATGAATTACCTGGTCGATGTAGTGCAGGTCGAAGTTGGGTATGCTCGGCGCGTAACACAAGTCCTTCAGCCTCCACGTGCTGCAAATGACACACACACACATACATTAGCGTGACTTTGTTTCGCTTCAACTTTGGGTGGAAATAAGATTGCGACGAATTATCAGTGAACATTTAAAACTTATTTATCGGTATACATTTGTAAAACAATCTAATTATTAATAAAAAACTAATACACAGAGAGAATTTTCTCTTTTAGAATTTACCCTGAAAATCATGCTGTAATAGTGAAAAAATATCACAATAAGATATAAAATATGTTCGATTAATTTTATTATGTACAATACATAGTAAAATTTACTATATATATATTAATATTGTTTATCGTGGTTTCTTCCAATATTGTCCCACGATTACCATGATTTTCAGGATAAATTCTGAGAGAAAATTCTCTCCGTGTCCTAAATGAATTAATTAAGTAAATGAGGAATCTTGTATACGAAAAAATACATCCAACGTGTAAAATAAAATCTTTGTTCATACTTGATTGTCTTGGAAAGAACATGATCTTAGAGATTTGCTCTTTTCTTTCCTTCTTTATATCACTGATAACGATATTATTATCCTGCACAAACATCACAATCTCCTTCGGTATATCTCTCCTCCTAATTAATTCAGTCCTCGAATCAAGACGCTCTCCCTTTTCGCGTAAATGAGAAAACGCGAAAGCAGAAGAGGACTCACATGTCGAACAGGTGCACCGTAACTTGCGTCGCAGCTTTCAGGACGGCCAAGTGTTCCTTGAGTGCGGCCACATGCAGGATATTCACTCCGGAGTGCTTCGGCGTCTGGATGATGAGTTGGTGCGTCGAAGGGGCAGCCTCGCCGAGGGCCTCCGAGGCGTAGGTCAGCTCCCTTTCTAGCCTTCCACCTTCTGCAAGCAAGCAAAGCGGAACGATTCATTCAAGATGCGCAATTTTCCACTCGTCTCGGGAAATTAATCAATATTATACATCGACAAGAGGATGTAGCTTATACCGAACGACGATATTTATATTCATTCTTCCTCTGTGTCACGATGCATTTCCTTTATCATTCTTTAACTTTTTTCATGAAAATATTTTTATATATACACTTAATATATAATTTTTAAATAGTTTTATATAATTCTTTTTAGGAACTAACAAAATCAACTCTTAATTGGTGGATTCTTTCCGAGGACGAGATTAGCGATTCAACTTGGGTTTCTCTTCTGGAGAAGATTAAAAGGAAAAAAAGGGGAGGAGGAAAGTGTCATGAAATTCACGTGTCCCTGCAGTCCCTTTAGAAGCCTTCCAGCGGACGATGTTTGCGGCCAGCGCGGTTCTCCGAAGAGAAACATCGGCCGAGAGAGACGGTGTCGTAACGTATCCCGCGTCTTTGTACTGACGCAAAAATTCCTGGCAGTCTACTAATAAAACATTCCCAGAAAACGGTCGTGAAAATAGCGGTCTGAAGAAGGAGAAGACGAATTCGCGCAATCCGACTGCCATAGATCATCATCCCCGCCACTTGGTGGCTCAATGTTTTTCCCGCGCGATTACAGCTTTCATTTCGAAATACCAGAATACATAGTGCAAAATAACGAAAAAATTAGTAACGTGAAACTAATCCGACGTACAGGGCTAAGAGAGAAAAAAAAATACGATTCTTCGCTTCTAACGATCCTCTTCCGGAATAACAGGAAGGGAGCTTTAACTTTGGAAGAAAAAAATATATCGGAGCACTCTCGTGTTATTCGATGGTATCTCACAGCCGCTTCGAGGATCGAGAGGTCCACAGCATGGATCTTCTCTCTCTTGCCTTTTTCCCGACTTTTTACAAGCGATTTGAAGAACCTGAAGAGGGAGAGACACAAGAAGTCGTCCGTTCTTACGGAGGACGACGCTCTGTGCGATTTAAAGGAGTTGTACACCGTATTGTGTATATATATATATGTATATATATGAGCAGTAGTAATGGACGAGGAGGCACATGAGGATGATGGCCGTTGCGCGGAGTACCCTGGTATCCCACCTAGTCAGATTTCACCGTCAAAAATGCCGACGGCGTATTTGCTCGTTCCGCCACGACGCGGTCGCCGTGGACCACCTGGATTGCTCGCCGCGCGAAAGTGGTTCTCAAACCGAGGCGATCTCCAAGGAAATCCACATCTCGTGGCCGCGGAAGACGTCAAGTGAGCATTTTTTCAAAGGAAAATAAAGGATAAACTTGACAATTTTTTAGGGCTTTTAACATGTTGCCCAAATAGTTTGAAACCGATTCGACTACGTCGAAACAAATTCTTAATTTCTTAAATTTTATAGATCAAATTTTCGTATTAATATTACGGCATATTAGACATTAAAACGCTAAATAAAAAAATAAAGGATAAAATTGAATTTAAAAAATGAATAAATCTAAAGGACAGTTACTTAAAATAAAGGACTGTCCTCTAAAATAAAATACGAATGATCACCCCGTGTATGGGGCGACAAAAATTTCCTGGTTACACTTTTTAAGTTGATTGGAAATTGATTGATTCCAACATGTGCGCGATTGGCAGAAAATGTACGTCGAAAAACGAGTTATTTTTTTTAATAACATGAGAAATTTATTCGATATTTTAAACTGATGATTGAAGCTAAACGCAATTTCGCAATTTTGAAGGATATGTAACAATTCGTATAACTTCTTCAAAGTTATTTTAATTTGTTACTTAAAAAGAAAGAAATTTCATATACATGACACCGATTAAATAAAAAATAAAATATACAATTGAGTTGAAAATTTAGAAAAAAGAAAAAATTATAAACATAAATCAAAGTAAAAATTATATTAAATTAATATAACAACAGTCAATAATAAAATACTAGAGTAAACGTTTTAGATAAATATAATTTTATATTATACACAAAATTGGAAGCAATGCGACATTGTTCACAAAACAATAGCAGTGAAAAATTTGAAAAGTACTGAAGAAAAAGACAAGTACCGATTACGAAATTTAGAGATTTTCTTTCATCTTGTTTACATCCGGCGGAAGAGCACTCGAATACCCTTCATTCTCGAATGAAGAAGGTAATAAGGGTACTGGAAAGAAAACGGATCTCCGGTTTAATTTCCTTCGGCTTTCGATTATTTACGGTCTGAAAATTCTGCAAATTGTCCGTGAACAATTACATTTTTCCAATCATAATAATGGTAACTTTTTGGTCACGATGTATATACTAGAAAAAATTTTTTTGTTATTCGTTCTGTCATACGGTTTTATATAAAAATTATGAAATAATAAATTATACCAATTGAAAGTTTCTTCTCAAAGAAAAATCACATTTTTCTCTCAGAGTATCACTCATACATAAAAATAAAAAAATTCTATCAAAATCATAATAATAACGATGTCGATTAGAAATTCGAAACTGCACGAATTTGTTCACTTTTATTCGGCAAATATAAGAAATTCCGTGCAAAGCTAATAAATCTTTACGACCAAATATTTCGATAATTTTAATAGAGTCCGTCACTCGCGTGACAAGTTTCGTGACGTAACTGGCGGCTCTGAGAGAACTCGCTCGCTCGCTCGCTCGCTCGTTTGTGAGTCAGCCTGTAGAATGCGGCCGAGCACCGAGCGTAATAAAGACACTACTCTCTGCTCTACGAAGCAAGAAACGTGGCTTAACGGTGGAAAGCCGGGAAGAAAGAGGAGAGACAAAAAGAGGAAGAGAAGGAGAGAGATAGTGAAAAAGGGCAGGAGACTAGCACGCAGGAAGAGAGAGAGACAGAGAGAGGGCACCGGGCTTGATTTATCGACGAGACGTCTCTGTAATTATTTCTCCGTCCCTGTCTCGTTCACGGGGAAGGAAGGGGGATGAGCGGCAAACCGCGTTCTTCTCATCCCGTCTATCTGCACCCTTCCGGCTACCGTGATTGCGGCCTCTCTTCGCTCGCTCCGGGGCACTCTTGAATGGCCGCCTCGTCTTTCAGCTCTATCGGCGCGCCTCTCATTCACCATTCCTCTCCTATTGTTTCCGTAAACTTGCCGGAGAAGCGCGTGCGTATCCCGAATTTCCCGCGACGTCCGTCAAAGGGTGGAGAATAAAGACTCTTAGTCTTGGGGGTCGAATATCTCTCTCTTCTTCTTCAGGGTCAGATCGGGAGGTCAGTCATCGACGTTAATGCGATATCGTGGAGCCTAACGATCGCGTCTTCCAATTGCCGTCCGGGAAAGAGCTCTATTAGACTGGGAATAACGATTCCCCCAGCTCTCTTCTCGACCACTATATGCGGAATTGAGAGATCGGAGAGGTTTCGAAAGTTCTCCAGGAAGAGGGAAAACGAGAGCATCCGTGGTTCTTGAAGAGAAGGGAGCAGGTGCACCCAGATTCCCCCGTCGTTTATAAATGTTGTATACTTTGAAGGCTTTTCCTTCCTCATCTTCTTATATTCTCTCTCTCGTCTATACGTTTAAATTAACGCTAATTAGCTTATTAAATCGATGTTGTCCTGGAATCAATCATCCGCGTTCGTTAAATCGGCAGTTTTATTAATTTGCAAGATTTTTACACAAACGAGATTTATCTGCCTCATTTATTTTAATAACGCTTGAAAACGTATCGAAAAGTGAAACTTCTGCCAGACGTATCGTTGATTAATATGCGCCATTAGTTGTTGATTTATTTGCGGTTTTTATATATATATATATTCCATGTATATATTAAGATTACACGGAGAGAATTTTATAAGAGTTTCTCCGATTCAATATTTTTATATATCTTATTGAGAAACTTTATTTTATAAAATTCTTCCAATACCATATATGTATTGTCCCACAATTATCATGATTTTCAGGATAAATTCTAAGAGAAAATTCTCTCCGTGTACAATTGATTTTCGCTTCAATTCCCTTCCTAATTCGTGTGCAACAATTATTGTAAAACAGATAATAAACCTTAAGGTTCGCCAGTAATAAATTAATAAAAATCTTTCCTCAATGGTAAAAGTCGACCAAAACTGGCAATCATTTATTATAAATAATTAATTAAAGTACAACGTTATTTATTGTATTAATTTATTATGCATTTACGTTTGATTTACTTGAAAAGGGCTGCAATGACAGCCGAAACGTTGTACTTTAATTAATTATTTATAATAAATGATTGCCAGTTTTTATCGACTTTTACCATTGAGGAAAGATTTTTAATTATTGTAAAATTTCGAGATATCGTCGCCGATTATTGCAATCGCATTTGCTCTTGGAATAAGATCAAGAAAGGCGGAAACTGCCTGAACGAAAACAATTCCAATTGAACAATCATGAAAATGAAAAATGTTCAATGCAAGGAACGAGGATGAGATAGCAATCCGACCTTGAAACTACTCTCCGCGCTACCATTATCTCAATTACATATTCCAGATCAATCGATCGTGATTCTTGGAGTCGGATCTATTCATCTTCGGTCGGCGCAGACAGTTTTATGGAGTGTGAAAATGTAAGAACCACGTGGCCGCAACCTCGTTAGGGGTTCTTGTTCCTGCGACACGTCTCGGCTTGCCTCCTCGGAGGAAATGCTTAGAAATTCCTGTATACGCGAGAAGAGAATAAGGGCCCGCTTTCCTTTTCGGGAGATTAATGAACTGTTCCTCCTCTTAGGAAGACACAACTTCTCGTTTCCTGTGTAACGAAATTCTATATTCGAACGTCGGTCGGTGAAAAGGACTCGAACGAGACACCGCATTCCCATAATTTATAAATCGCATTAATTAAGACTCATTATAGAAAAAAAGTAGAAAACTCTGTAAAATAGTTGCATTATTTTATTTTATAACAATCGTTATCGATTTACTTGAAATGAGGACTTTATAATAGTTTATTTTTTTTTTCTTAAAAAATGCGTTGCTTAATTTATTGTATAA